ATAAAGAATTTGCAACACCAATTGAATTGCCTCTTGATGCAGGAACTGGCAAGAAAGTATATGAAACAGTATTATTTTGAAAATGCGAATAAACCGACAAGATGATTAGCTTATAAAATAAGAAAAGAAAGAGAGAAAAATATATTAGATCGCTAAGAAATGAGCAAGGAGAGGGAAAATATATCTCTAGAGACTTGAAGAGGATCATAGAGGATTTCTATAAAAGTTTATATCAACAAAAGGACCAAGACCAACACAAGTTAAAAAACTTTTTTAAAAAATAAAATGACAAGAAATTTACTGAAACTCATTGGAAAACTTTAAATGAACCAATCACGATTTTTGAGATAACTGAAGCAATTAAAAAACTAAAAAAGAAAAAGACACCAGGTCCAGATGGACTACCTGCAGAATTTTACCAGACTTTTGAAGATCAAATAATTCTGCCTTTAAAGTGTATAATGCAGAACATTATACACAAGAAGAAAGTACCAAATACATGGAATGAAACCTTAATTACACTAATTCATAAGCAGGATACGGATCAGAAGGAAATAAGAAATAACAGGACAATCTCCTTGTTAAGTGCAGATTATAAAATCTATGTGACTCTATTGGCAACCAAACTAAAAAAAGTTCTTGTTCAGATAATACACCAAGACCAAGCAGGTTTCTTGCCCAAAAGGCAGATAAGAAATAAGTTAAGAATTATTCGGAATGTGCTTGAATATTACAAAGCACACCTCGAGAAACAGATGGCATTGGTATTCCTGGACGCAGAGAAAGCATTTGACAATATCAGTTGGAATTTTTTATTAGAGCAATTAAATATGTGGGACAGTGGAAAGGATTTTTACACAATGGTTAGAGCAATATATAAAAATCAATGGGCTAGGGTGTTGGTGAATGGAGATATTACACAAAATACAAAAAGGGACTAGGCAGGGATGTCCACTTTCTCCTTTACTATTTATTTTCGTACTTGAAACATTGAACAATATAGTTAGAGAAGATAGCCTAATTAAAGGGCTTAAGGTGAAAGGGGAAGAATTTAAGCTGCAAGCCTTTGCAGATGATTTAGTCTTTATTTTGGAGGAACCACTAGTAATGATTGCACAATTTTTGAACAGATTACAAGAATTTGGACAAGTAGCTGGTTTGAAAATTAACTTTAAGAAGACAAAGATACTTACCAAAATTGTTCTAAGGAACAGATACAACATTTATTTTAAAAAATTAACTATTGAAGTACGGAAGAAAGTAAAACATTTAGGCATAGTATTGACAAATAGATGTAGCTCATTATTTGAAGACAATTATAAGAAACTTGTTAGAAATTAAGAAGTATCTAGAAAAATGGGAAAGCCTGCAATTATCATTTATGGGGAGAATAGCAGTAGTGGAAATGAATATATTACCAAGACTTCTATTTCTTTTTCAAAATATTCCGATCTTGAAAAATCAGCAATATTTTAAGGATTTGGATAGAATTATAAGTCCATTTATCTGGCAAGCTAAAAGAGTCAGGATAAAAATGAAAGCTTTACAAGATAGGAAAGAAAGAGAAGGTTTTGCATTATCTAATTGGTCCCTATATTATAAAACAGCATCCTTGGTTTGGATAAAAAACTGGGTGACTCTGGAAAATTTAAGACTCCTAAAAATAGAAGACCATGACTTATTAATGGGGTGGCATGCATTCCCATGGTATGATAAGTATAGGGTACATAAATATTTCAACCAGCATTTGCTCAGCGAGTCCTTGTTTAAAATCTCAAAGTGGGTCTCCCCATTGGAAGCTTTCATAAAGCCCACATTATTTATGAAATATACCTTATACGAAGACTTGTTAGATAGTTATAATAATCTAAAATCAGTCTCTAAGCTACAAGAACAAAACACCAATCTGACTTGGTGGGAAAGATTACAATTGGAATCAAGGTATAAAAAGGATTTTCAAAATGTTTTTAATGAGAAATGATTTGAATAAAATTTGGCTGTTTACAGAGGAAGAACTAATGAAAAAACTGTACGCCTTCTTATTAGAAACAAGGATGCAGGATGAGGTAGTTAAATCTTCAATGGTGACTTGGGCACAAAACATAGGCGATAATATAGATATACGGTAGATCAATGGGCAAAAGTTTGGAAAACTAACATAAAAATTACAAGAGCAACCTCTTTCAAGGAAAATATATACAAAATGTTCTACAGATGGCATATGTCACCAGATAGATTAGCTAAATGATACGCAAATGTCTCTAGTAGCTGCTGGAAATGTGAACAAAATGTGGGGACCTATATCCATATGTAGTGGACGTGTGTTAAAACAAAAAAATACTGGTTATGGATCCAGGGGATATTACAAGAAATAAGAGACATAAAAGTACCGTTTAAGCCAGAATATTTTTATTAAATATAACTCCAGGTATACATAAAAAATCAGATGTGCACATGATTATTCAGTTTTAGTCAAGAATACATAAACATTCAAATGTTTAAAATGAGAAAACAGATACATTCTACGAATTTAATCCTACTCTGAAGTTTTGTGCGGTGTGTAAAGCACTCCAAAAGCCATTCTGTGGTTAATGCCCCATCTTATTCTAATTACAGTATACATCCAATGCAAAGCAAAAATAATATAGGAAATGCCTCCTGTCAAATAAGGTTCTGTCCACAGTTCCTTCCAAAGCTGTGAAATGTGTGCCTGATGAAAAAGAAAAGCTTGGGAAGTAATGGATATGGTGAGTTTCATGAAAAAGAGGAGAGACCACCTTCCAATATTGTACAAATCTGAAATCAGTTTACTGGATAACAAAAAAAGGTCAACGTACAAAAGCAGATTTAGAATCCTGCGCAAATAAGCTCAACATCCTAGTAAATGCAAGGGAAGAGGAAATGAAAATATTTGCCTAAAGGAAGAGTTTGCACCAATTCCCACCTACAGTTTTGCCTGCTTGCAGATGTCTCTGCTCACCAATCCACCTGGCTGGAATGACCACCAGGTTACTTGTGTGTGGGGGGGGAATTAAGTTACAGTGTAAATGTTAACAATTCCTACCTACTTCAAGTGTCCTGAAACACAGTCCAGCTGCTACTTGCCATGTCAGATGTGAACAAAGGATAAAACACAAGCAGATTGTACTGAATACAAAACAAAGTACCTCCCTCAAAGAAGCTGCACGCACCCAGAACAATGAAGGGCAATGGAGAAAGAATGTCTAGCTGGACAAAACAGGGCCTTCAGTTGGAATGTTGCTTTGTTCATACCTGGTATAAAGCATTCACAAGGAGACAATGGAATGGTAAGCATCTGTTTCACCCAAGCTTTAGGGTCAATTCACGTGTGACATTTTTCAGCATGTATACGTACTATGCATACTAAAAGAAATGGACTCAGACCATTCACACTACACAAACATATCAGAGGGTATTTGTAACTGGCTGACTGTTGTCTGAGGTATGTACCCCATATGGAAAAATACTGGCACTGGGAACCCACTTTCGTGGGGTCAGAAGAAGAAACTGGTAGGGGAAAGGGCAGAAGGGAAAGATCTGCATCCACCAGCACCTCTGCTGCCAGGTCACTGGAGTTAACCCACTACTTAGGACAGCAGGGACATCAGATCATAGTAAGATTTACTTGTTAAACATAACCATAGGAAAAAAAATAACCATCTTCTTGAGAACACTCAGGATCTACCTATATGCAACATTACTGCTCTGTCCCTGGATCCCCAACCCCTAACCCTGTTTTATGGCCTTAAAAAGAACAAAAAAGCATACTCTGGCAGTGGTGGGGAGAGATGGATTAGGGCTGCTGTGCTCAGGAAAAGTGCAGCAACAGCTTTCCTCTGGACAGTTTCTTCAACACTAAATCCCCCCCCCAATGCTTTTAGTCCCAGTAAGGGGGGGGGGGAGACCTGTAGAATCAGTTTCATGGGCACGTATTCCAGGATAAGCTTCTGTTGGTCGCAGCTCACTTCATCTGGGAGAACCGGGTTTGATTCCCCACTCTTCCACTTGCACCTGGCTGGATGACCTTGGGCAAGCCGTAGTTCTGATAAGAGCTGTCCTTGAAAAAAGAGCAGTTTCTGTCAAGAGCTCTCTCAGCCCCACCTACCTCACAGGGTGTCTGTTGTGGGGAGGGGAAGGGAAAGGAGTTTGTAAGCCACTCTGAGACACCTTTGGGTAGTGAAGGGTGGGGTTTAAATCCAATCTCCTCTTCTTCATCATCAGATACATTTGTGTAACACCCAGCCTGATGAAGAAGCATTCTGGTGAACTCCAGGCTTGTACATTCTGTTTTGTCATTTGGGTTGGTCCTAATAAAAAGCAACACATGGGGGTTTTCCTTGGTTTTGGATTTCCATAAAGCAATATCTTTATATTTGTAATAACGTTACATGAACCAGCTGTTCTCTAAGGACTATTTCATTTTTAAATTTTTAACTATATTCTGCTCTTAATCACAAAACTCAATAGTATAAAATAATTAAAAACAGTATAATAAACCAGTAAAATCCAGTAGCAGACTGGAAAAGGAATATCATAACCCAGGAGCAAACCAATAATGATAAAACAAAGTATGCATAACTTTGAGAGAGAGATTCTCTTAACCCTGTAATGGAATATCCCTGTCAACATCTCTTCTGAAATTATTCCCATAACTGATGTTGGCTATTATTGTCTTATTGCAGAATATTGTCTTAATGCAGAATGCACTAGCTTTTGGTGAACTGACTCTTTTTAGTATTCGTGGCTCCACCACTAAGTGGGTGACCCTCTGAAGACTGTGAATGACCAAAGCAAAGTGAATTATCTTTCAAAACATGTTGTATATTTATTCAAAAAGAGAGTGGCTAAGTTTTTATTGCTTTAGTTGGTAAGCATTCACTGAAACAGGTGGCAAATGCTTAACTAGGCGTTCTGACTACTAAATGGATATTCATTTTAATACTCCTCTCCCCCCCCCCAACTTTTTTGTGTTGCCATAGGAGCTGAAACTGCCTGTGTACAAGGCCCATTCTTCACAAATGGGGATGCGGCGTTATTTGGCTGACCTCTTGACCATCCTCAGCAGCCGCTGCCAACTGTGTCCAACGGCCCGGCACCTCGCAGTCTACTTGCTGGACCTCTTTATGGACCGCTATGATGTTGCTGTCAAACAACTCTGTGTCATTTCAGTTGCTTGCCTCCTTCTTGCAAGTACGTGTCTGTTGATGTATCAATGTGTTTGGTCTTGTCTTAGCAAATAGTATATCTTTTGCCCATTGAATGTCCTGAGAAAACAGAAGTTTTGCATATGATGCTTTTGATAAAAGTGCTGAGAAGCCTGTCCACAAGAATTCCTTATAGTGCTGTGTTCTAGAAAAATGACATGACATATCCAGGAATGTACCTAGAGAGTGTTTTAGAGGTTATAAAGAAGCACCTTTGCAATGTTACACTAACTAGCACTGTGGGAGGTGCTGTTTAATTAAATCAACTCATGTGCCATTGTCATAGTTAAAGGCCTACAGGCAAGTAGATAGTTGATGGACTGTTCAGTATTAGGTGAGATGAACCCATAAGACTGACAACAGTCCAAAAAGCAATTCCTGTGTTGCCCTGAAACAGCTAAAGGGCACGTTAGGGTTTCTGTGATGTGACACTTCAGATCTTTGAATGCAGTAGCTGCATGAATTCTTGGGTTGTGGCTTTTTATATGTACTTGTCTAAATGAGCCACCAATAGCTGGACCCAGGGCTATTTTTGGGCCGGAACAGCGTTCTGGCTGGCTTCTGAGCCCGCCTCGCCCCACCTCGCCCCTTCCACTTCAAAAGCAAAGAAGCAGCAGCGGCAACAAGCACCAGAGCACGTGCTCATCTCATTGCTGCCCACTGCTCCAACGTGCCTCCCTGCCAAAAGGCAAAGTAAGTCGGTGCTATGGGGGGGGTGTGGGGGGGAAGGCTACTGCGCTCTCCTTCCCCTCTGCAGCACGGCCTGGCAGCCCTCGAGGGCCTGTCACAGTCGGCACTGTCGAGGAAGGCGGGCAGGTGGACGTTGGGTGGTGGGTGGGAAGGCCATAGCTTTCTCTTTCTCCTCGGGGGCCCACCCCCTGCCTGCCTTTCCTGGTGCGCACCGATGCGCAGCGCATGGGAAAAGCCTGCCCAGCCCGTCTTTCCCAGTGTGTGCCGAGGCGCGGAGCGTGGAAAAGGCCTGCCCAGCCCCCTCCTGTCTTTCCCGGTGTGTGCCGAGGTGCAGAGTGCATGAAAGGCCTACTTGGCCCGTGCCTCTCCGCCAAAAGGCAAGGTAAGTTGGGGGAGGCGGGGGGGGGCTCTTTCTCTTTCTTTTCCTCTTTTCCTTCTCTCTTTCTTTCTCTCTTTTCCTCCTTTCCTTCTCTAATAGTTTATGGTCCAATAATCTGTCCCAATCACTTGTGTGGTGGTCCAGCTTAACTAGTCCAAGGATGTGTAGATCTAGGTTTGATTTTCCAGTCCTAATTTTCAAATTGAATGCTCTTCCCCAGGCCCTAGCTTCATAAGACATCTCCCCAACTTCGGCTCTCAGGGCTATTTCAGACACACACTGAAGTGTCCTCAGAATATTGTGTAGGAATCTTAATAGAGGTCTGTCAATATTGTCTGTGACTGCACTGATCCAGACCCCGGTGGCATATAGCGTCTGCCCAGCAACTTTATTTATTTATTTATTTCAGGTATTTTTACCCCGCCCTCCCCGCAAGTGGGCTCAGGGCGGCTTACAGGGGCACACGCCCATTCATAAAACAGTAAAATCCAGTAAAATCACAATTTACAAAATTTACAAAGAATAAAGTGCTTTTAACTTCCAAGATGGTCCAAGTTGTTACTATCGTCCAATAAGTGATCTGAGTCAGTCGGCTGGTCTTGCTGCCGTGTGGTACACATGGCTACCGGGATGTCACAGGTTCCCCTGTGGCATTCATGGAGGAGAGTTAATTCTGTTGCTAGAGATTAAAGGACAACCACATTCATAGCATATCATACACAGTTATTTGAATGTGCTGAAGTTAGTGCATCAATCATGCATTTATTTCCCACACACACACTAAATTTAAACGGCATAAGAGAAGTAGGTCCTGTACTTTCTTTCATTTTTAAAAGTATTATTCCAATCAAAAAATTTTCCACATACAGCTTTGAATTTGTTTGAATATGACATTTAAACCATACTCGATTATTTTTTTCTAACCAAATAACTGTTTACTGTTCGCCTGGTTCCCAGGACCTGAGCGCGCAACCGTTTTCTCCTGCCCGCCAGCGGGAACGTTATCCATTGGTTATGTATCTAACTTGAATCCCTTTATCATGTTTGCCCTAACTGCTTGTACCCAGTTCTAACAAGGAACGTGTTTGAGTGTCTTTCCAATGCTTTGAAATAAACTTTGCTTTCTTTGGAAACGTGGATTTATTCTCGATGCTTGGGGATCCAACAACCAGGAGATACACTGTTGGGCATCACGGGATTACAACCCAATCCAGCATCCAGAAAGCTTCATAGCTGTTCTGTGTACCAAAAATGAAGCTCTAAGCATGTTTCTCAACCAGCAGTTGCCCATGTTACATAGTAGACTATTTTTTTAAGTGGTTTGTGCTATGGATGAGGTAGGTCAGCTGTTCAAAGGAAAACGTTTTTCTAAAAAAACCTCACTGGTTTTGAACAACCCCAAGGGCATAGCTGCTTGGATTCTGCTTTCTTAATATTCCTGCTTGCAGGGAGGAGCATATATATGAATGTATGAAGTTTTATAGCTGAAGTGTGTCCCAGTGTTTTTGGTTTATATAAGTACCTTCTCATTCTCTCTCCCCTCCCCATTGCTTAAGCATCATGTTGAGGACTCTGTTACATCTTTAGTCTGGGTTGTTCGTTGTTTGTGAATGTCACTGCTGGGATACCACAGCATCTCTGAGTATTTATGAGGGAAATACTTTTCAAAACAGTGTATCTTGCTTGCTGCTTAATTCATGTAATTAGGCTTTGAAGGACTGTTTTGGAAATGATCTGCTTAAAGGCTCTGCTGTGGTAGAGTCTACATAGGCGTAATCTTCGTGGGGGCGGCGGGGCGTCAGCCCCCGCCGAAATTTTCAGGAAGGTGCTCAGCCTCCCCCGGGAGCCACCCTTGCTCCTAGCAAAGCAATGCCTCTGGCCCAGCCCCAGCCCACCCACCCCCGGGAAATTGGAAAGTCTACACCCTTATGTTTTATACTTCTAAAAGTTTTGTTACAGTTTGGTGTAGTGGCTAGGAGCATGGACTCTAATCTGGGAGAACTGGGTTTGATTCCCCATTCCTCTACTTGCAGCTGCTGGTGTGACCTTGGGTCAATCACAAGTTCTTTCAGAGCTGTTCTTTCAAGAGCAGTTCTCGAAAGAGCTCTCTCAGTCCCACCTACCTCACAGGGTGTCTGTTTTTAAATGGTAAGCCAATCTGCATGAACAAGATTGGTGGGGGACATTCAGATCAGAGTCCTTGTAAAATTTCCTTTTGCCGTGTGCAGCCCAGAGAGAACATTGGCCCAGTATGCTAATGAGCTGCGCAGACAGGGGTGTGGCCTAATATGCTAATGGGTTCCTGCTGGGCTTTTTCTACAAAAAGAGCCCTGGCTGGACCCATAGAATTGCCTTACCAGACTAACATGGCCAGTTCAGGGGGTAAAAAAATAGGTTTCTGTAAGCACTTGTATCCCAACACATACAGCTTCACATGAGGGAGAAAATTCTAGTGGGGAACTTCACATGAGAATCAGCAGAGCTTTTCAAGGTAAGGTTAGCATTTTAACAATAACTTAGGTGGGATCTACTGTATCAGAACCCTGCTGGATCAGACCAAGGTTCCATCTCCTCTAGCATCCTGTTTCTCACAGTGGCTTCTCACATGTGGGAACCCGATACACAAGCATGACACAAAGGCAGAAACCTTCCAGCACTGCTGTCCCCCCTCCACCCTGCAACTGGCACTCTGTGAGAGACAGACTCTGAGCTTGGAGGTCCCATTTAGCCATCAGAGATAATAGCTGTTGACAGACCGCGCCTCCTCCATGAACTTGATGGGTCCTTGTCTAAAGCCATCTCTACTGGTGGCCATCAGCACATCCTGTGTATTCTGTAAGGTATCTAATCTTTGTATTGGTGATCCTGGGCAACTGTTACGTTTTCCTGCCCAAAACCTTCAAGGACATAGAAGCTGTCTGGTTGTTAAGGGTCAGCATTGTTTCCCCCTGGAGAGCTGTTAATGGCGGTAAAGAAATGCTTACCGAGGCTTGTTAGACATGTCCTTGATGAGGATGGCCGTAATGGTTTCAGGTGCAGCTGAATTCTGTGGAATTTAGATCTAGGAAAGGGACAACAGAGCGCCCCTCATAAAACAACAAAAGCAAAAGAAGCTGTTTGGTGTGCTGTGTCTCGTAGCTTTCCTTAGTCCATTACTGGCCCTTTGTTTTCTGCCCTCACAAAAAAGGATGTTGTACATGTTAATTTAAATCCTTTAATGCTGAAAACGTATTGATAGTGAACAGAAAACAGCTTGTTGAAGTAGAGGCAAAAAAAATGGCAGGGATCCATTATAGCCAAATCTGAAAGAAATATGGATAGAGGGGAGGTGTTTCCAAAATAAATTACAAAAGAGAGGACCATAAAAATAACCAACACACTAAATGTAGTGCAAAAGTGTAATTGTATACACAATTCACAGAAAATTAGAGGTATGGATAGAATCTAATCAACAATACAGAGAAAAAAAATTAAACTAGAAATACAAAATTGCACACTTTGCAAAATAACCTTAGAGAGAGATGATTTTCAACTACCATCAAATAAATAGGGTTGTTTTTTCTTCAATTATAAAAGCTACAACATGGCTTTCAGATTCTTCAGAAGTTTAAATCTCAGCTGAAATAACATGGAAATTGGACAGTGACTCAGGCAAGCCCTTGAAGTTTGAGTGTAATCTTTTCCTGTTTTGACATAAGACAGGAACAAACTATAAAAAGACACACTGGATTGATTCAGACTTAATGCAAAACCATGACTTTAACTGTGGCTAGTGCATGACAAAGGTTCATCTTTACTTATTTCGGCAAATTATGGCGAGTGCCCTTCCACTTCCCTCCCTCAGAGGCTAGATTTTCCCTCTATTTTTCTGTCCCACCCTGTCAGTAAGATATGTTTTGACTCAGCCCAGGAACCTGAGGGAAGGGATAGGATTGCCCTTAAACCCTTGAAAATGGAGCTTGAGACACTTTTAAAAGTAAAAAAATAACAAAAGGGTTTATTTAACATCAAAGGGAAAGGTCAGGTGAAATCATGGGTTGAAGTTACTGAGATAAAACTGGTACAAGCACAGACTTTTGATCTTATATATTAGGCTTTGAGAGGTTCTTAATTTATTCACAGATACTTAGATCTTTATATTGAGAGGCTTTTGTTCCCATCTTTTCCCAAACACTCTAGTTCACTTTGTTTGAGTAATTGCTAACTCTTTTGGTGTCCAGAAGGCTGGTATCCTCTTCCCAGTACCCAGACCCCTTCTCTTGGAACACCAGTACACTTCTTGAGTTGTTCACAAAGTTTTAAGGTCTCCACAGGCAGTTTGTAATCACACCAGACTAGGGAATTCTGTACTCCTCAGAGATAACTCCCCCTGTTTGATTGGGTAGGGATTTTTCTCTCTAGAAGATCTATCCCCTTTCCTTTGGCCTGAATGGGAGTCTTCTCTACTAACCCAAACCTCCATGCTAAACTCTCCCCCAGTTCTCTGTCTGTATTCAAACTGCTCTCAGCTAATGCTGAATTCAGACTGCGTTCAGTCAAAGTAGAAATCTGTCAGCACTAAACCCTTTTTCTGTCAGGGCTATTCTCAGATGATGTCTCTTCTCATTTAAGGCAGGAATCTGACTGACTTCTCAGCATACAACTTTCTCAAGATTTTTTGCTCAGCTGATGCTAACCCATCAGATTACTTAGAACAGTCTGTCATTCAAGGTTCTCTGTCTCTATGAAGAATTAACCCTTCACAGTCCTTTAATTGTTGGTACAGCACTTCTAAGCCTCTTAAAAAGTGTAGTCCATCACAAGCGCTTTCCTTATTTAATCTCTGTGAGAGACATGGCTGATATCCCAGCCTGCTTCATAGCACCTAACTCGTGGCAAAGCCTCACTGCATCACCAGTTTCCTAGCAACTCAAGAGTGGGAAAACCTTTCTCAGGAATCTTTGGCTATCACTGAGCCCCCTATCTCTACTATACAAGGAAGCTGAAAAGTTTTATGTTAAGGGTGTCAAACATGCAGGCTGGATCCAGCCCCCACAGGCCTTGTATGTGGCCCACGAGCAACTGGCTGTTGTCTGCTTCCTTCTACCTCTGTCTTGCTTCCTTCTGCATCTGTTAACTCCTCTGTGGCTGGAGTATAGCCAGGGCTCCTTCAGCACTGTTTTTTTCCTTGAGGAGTGCACCATGTTGCCATGTCTTTATGAGAGCGGAAGTGGGGATGGAGAGGAGTCTGTGGCAAGGCAGGCTCCGAGCCAGGCTAGTAAAAGGTGAGGGAAGGCAAGAGGAGGCAGGGGACTC